GTTGTGATTAAAGAATTTTGTTGGGTTATTCATTGAAATTGCTACTGTGTTCGTGTGAGAGAGGCAAAGTAATTAGAAACTGTTAGACGAAAATATGTAGTTTTTGTTGGAAACGGATCTTTGATTAATCAAATGTAAGAAGAAGTTGAAAGAAGTGTAGAACAAGAATCGTAAGAAGAGAAGAAGAAGAAGAGGAGAAGGAAAAGAAGTCTGTGTCATGAAGAGAAAAGAGAAGGAAGAAGAAAGAAGAAAAGGGCCAGATGGGCCAGAAATTAATAGAGGCCCAAATGTGTATTTATTTTTTTTTGGACAAAGAAGCCCAAATGTGTTATTGCACACTTTAATATATCAAAGCTCCTAGTAGCACTAAGAGCAACATTATTGGTAGTCTTTTAATATTGGCTCTTAGTATTAGTTTAATATTAAATTTGTAAAGTTTGGAGTTAAGAGATTGTATTTTTGTTTTAAATTTTATGTGTTTCCAATGGTAGTTTTTTAACTTGTGGTTCTTAGGAAAAAAATATCAACATAAAAATAAATTAAATTAACAATTTTAATTAAATATCAATATAAAAATAAATTAAACTAACATGTCACCGTCTTAGGATGGTTTGGGCCTCTTAGTTAAGAGACCACTATACAGAAGACCACTGTACAGATATAGACTATTCTACAAAAGATCACTGTACAGATACATATATAGACCACTGTACAGATACAGATATAGACCACTGTACAGATACAAATATATACCACTGTACGGATACAAATATAGATATAGATATAAACCACTGTACAGAAGACCACTGTATAGAAGACCACTGTACAGAAGCCCACTGTACAGAAGACCACTGTACAGAAGCCCACTGTACAGAAGACCACTGTACATATATAGACCACTGTACAGATATAGACCACTGTACAGATATAGACTATTGTACAAAAGACCACTGTACATATACAAATATAGACCACTGTACAAATACAGATATAGACTACTGTACAGATATAGATCATTGTACAAAATACCACTGTACAGATACAGATATAGACCACTATACAGATATAGATATAGACCACTGTATAAATACAGTGGTAAAGTCTCTCTTTAGTCAAATGCATTATTCAATTAAGTTGGTAAAGTCTTGTTTGTTTTTTTTTTTTTTTGTGGGCAAAGTTGGGAAAGTCTTGTATACAAATAATTTCCCAATACATCAAACACATATGGGTTTGGGTGGGTCTAAAGACTCTAACCAAAAAGAGTCTACAAATATTACAGTAACAATACGGTAACTAGATGCTGAAGTTACCCATGTTATAACACATGAGATACACGACACAAGGCCAAAAAAAGTCGAGTGCGGTGGAAAATGATAAGGAGTGGTCTATATCTGTATCTGTACAGTGGTCTATATTTGTATCTGTACAGTGGTCTATATTTGTATATGTACAGTCGTCTTTTGTACAGTGGTCTATATCTGTACAGTGGTCTATATCTGTACAGTGGTCTTCTGTACAGTGGTCTATATCTATATCTGTACAGTGGTCTTCTGTACAGTGGTTTTCTGTACAATGGTTATATCTATATCTATATTGTATCTGTACAGTAGTCTATATTTGTATCTGCACATTGGTATATATTAGTATCTGTACAGTGATTTATATCAGTATATGTACAGTGGTCTACTTGTAGAATGGTCTTTATCTGTACAGTGGTCTCTTAACTAAGAGGCCCAAACCATCCTAAGACGGTGACATGTTAGTTTAATTTATTTTTATATTGATATTTAATTAAAATTGTTAATTTAATTTATTTTTATGTTGATATTTTTTTCCTAAGAACCACAAGTTAAAAAACTACCATTGGAGACACATAAAATTTAAAACAAAAATACAATCTCTTAACTCCAAACTTTACAAATTTAATATTAAACTAATGCTAAGAGCCAATATTAAAAGACTACCAATAATGTTGCTCTTAGTGCTACTAGGAGCTTTGATATATTAAAGTGTGCAATAACACATTTGGGCTTCTTTGTCCAAAAAAAAATAAATACACATTTGGGCCTCTATTAATTTCTGGCCCATCTGGCCCTTTTCTTCTTTCTTCTTCCTTCTCTTTTCTCTTCACGACACAGACTTCTTTTCCTTCTCCTCTTCTTCTTCTTCTCTTCTTACGATTCTTGTTCTACACTTCTTTCAACTTCTTCTTACATTTGATTAATCAAAGATCCGTTTCCAACAAAAACTACATATTTTCGTCTAACAGTTTCTAATTACTTTGCCTCTCTCACACGAACACAGTAGCAATTTCAATGAATAACCCAACAAAATTCTTTAATCACAACAAATCGAGATCAGAAACAGAATAACTAGAAAGAAATCCAAATAGAAACTGTTAGCTTTTACCTCGATCGAAATAGCTTGACGGAGGGAGTTTTAAGGAGAGGAGGGATGATCGGAGAAGATATGGAAGCAATCTCTGATGATGATGAAGGAGGAGATACGGAGAGGGAAGATTCGACGGTGGATTTGATGGAGGATTGTTGTTGTTGTTTGAGACAGAGATCGCCGTAGCAATTAGAACAGAGATTCATGGTGGCGGAGCTGCCGAGGAAGCCACTGTTGTTAACACAGAGACGGTTGCTTTCCGATGTCTGACATCGATGTTCTTCCGCCATAGATCTTGAAGAAAACAAAGTTTGAGAATTTATCGATCAAGCTCGTTGAATAAATCTGTAAATTAACAAAAAAAAGATTCATTAATAAGGTAACAATAACAATAACAAAAGATTGTGTTAAAAAGAAAACAAAAAACGAGGAGAGGCAAGGCTTGCTCTCGCCGTCGGTATGCTCTGTTGTCACCAAAAACCGGAATCTCGGCCGCCGATGAGAATGGTGCTCAAGTACCTGAACAGAGACGAGGATGTCATTGAGATTGAAGACAATTGGGGATATTAAGATTCTTCAAGAACCGATTTAGGATCGAAGTTCGTCGGATATATTCCGTCGGACATGGCATCGAGCTCACAGTCACACACATCTTCGTCTCTCACCAGAATTTCTTCTACTTCTTTTATGGAATAAGTTGCAATGGCATGATTGTAAATAAAGTAGTTTGTTGAGGGTTTGGTAGTCAGCCAAACAGTAGCGCACAGTAAAACATGAGGATTTTTCCAATTATAAATAGTCTCTGTACTACTTTTCAAATTAAGTTTCATAAACGTACTATATTGCAACTTATTCCAAAAAAAAATTGTAGCCTACTATTGTAGGTCACTATTACCTTCCTGTCATTTTCATCTCTTTGAACTAATCTCTCATGTAAGATAATACTTTAGGAACACTATTTTTTTGTGTGTTTACTTACCATTTGTTTGGCTTCTTTTTCTCTTAGTTGCACCGCATGATTCAAATCCTATGCTGGGTGGAAGTCTCTCTCTGCATAGAGAATGACTCGGGGAATTTTGTTGTGAGAAGAAGAAATTCGTTTGAGCTGGAAAAAAACTCAATGCGCTTATCTCCATTCTTCCATCTCCATTCTTCCATCATTTGACCCACTTTTGGCGGTTTGGCCCATCACCATGATCTCTAGAGCATTTGAGCTTGCATCAACTTCTGTTAAGACCTTACTTCATTGTGTGGTTAAGAGTTTGTGTTGAGTGTGGTAGGGTTGGTGGGACAGCTGAGAAGATGGCAGCGATGAAAGCTTTAGTTGACGCAGAGTTAATCTTGGAGTAAGACACTATCACTATTTAAATAATTAATGTAATTGAGCTATGATTGATTAAATAGGTCAAATGGATCTACTTCATTCCATAGTTACATTTGACCGTTTAATATAAAACTTCCTGAGTATCTAAGTCACAATTTGAGTCATTGGTAATATTTGTAACCCAATTTCAATCATCATGAGATGTCTAATGGATTGAAAGATATAAATCTCTAAGAGCAAGTCCAATGGTAGAGTCCTTAAAAAACTCTTAAATATTTTTCTAATTATAAATTGTGACAATTTCAAAATAAGAGTTTGTGTTTAATCCTTCAAATTTTCATTGTCCAATGGTACAGTCCATAAGTGGATTTCTTAAATAAAAAATATTATTTTTAAAAAGAATATTATAAACATTTTTATTTGATAAAACTTAATAATTATTACAATTTCCTAATCGGAACTAAACTCTCTGATTTGACCACTTGAATCTCTGATTTGGCCAAAGTGGTACCAATATGATGAATTGAAATCGCCGGTGGTGAACAGCTTCGATGGAGATGACGATAACGACAGACAAAGACGAATTTCCCGATTGCCTGTCTTTCATTTCAACGGGTCGAGAGTCGAAGAGATTGGGTCCACCGTTGGCCTTCGAGAAAGAGAGAGAGAAAAAAATTGTCGCAGAATATAAAATACAAGGGATAATATTTTTTTTGGCTATTATATTTTTTCTTCACTCAATCACAAGACAACACAACAAAGATCCTTAACAAATCTTAGACCATCCTCATTGATGGGCTCTTAAGATTTGTCCTAAGAGCCATTAATGAGGATGATCTTAAAACTCTAAGCTAAGAAACGATTCTTAGTCTAATATCTTGTTTTCATTAATTTTAATTATTTTTTAAGCTAAGAATTTCACTAAGAAACATCATTGGACTTGCTCTAAGAGCATCCATAAGACCATGATTAATGGGAGGTTCTTAAGAAAATCTTAAGCTGGATCTTAGCAATAAATGATTAAAATTAAATCCCAATTAAGCCATTATTGTTAAGAGAGGTTCTTAGCTAAACAACAAAAACATAGTTAAGATCCATATTTTACAAATATATTACTTAAATATTCCTAAGATTTATTTCTAAGACACTATGGATAATCATGTTCTAATTAACGTTGGTCTGTTATGAGATTTCTTAAAAGACAAAAAATAATAATATTTTAATTTTGCAATTATAATCTAATATTTTAATATAAATAGACCATTGATAGAGCTGTACGTGTTTTTAGTTTGTAAGAATGTATCTTATGCAAGAGCTTTTAGACATTCTCTCTCTTTCTTCTCTTAACTGTATATTATTTTTCTTTATTTTTATTGCTAAGAGTTATACTAAGAAATGCACGTTAATGGTGCTCTTAACTTTATATATAAAGTGACTCAGACAAAACATGTTAGCTGAAAATCTTGTATAAAATGGAGATTCTCTGGTTCAAATAACTCTGTCATTGATGTATTTTGTTTTTGTTCACTAAATAATAGAAG